AACGCAGTGGAAAAAATTATTTTCTGAATATTTTTTATTTTAAAAAATATCAGTGTTTTCATTTTAAACTTGATATATGGTCAATTCTAAAAGAATAGGAAAGTATTTGATTTGCTGATATATGCAAAAAATTTTGTTCTGTTTTTTTTGTGCATGTGTTTTAAAATGTGAATTTAAAACGTCCCTGATCCCACTGTAGCCAGAATACAGAAGTTATAAAAGGGGACTTTCTGTGACTTTCATTTCATGCTTTTAGAGAAAAGATTGATTCAATTACTCTCTCCATCTCTCCCTCTCTCCTTACTTCCCTCCCTCTTCTTTCTTTCCCCATCTTCCCCTTGCCTTTCCCTCTCTTTCCTCTCTGTTCCTCTCTCCCTCACTCTGCACCTCCTCCACACCACTACTGACTGCTCTTTCTTACTTGTGGTGAGAGAATGTAATGAGTTATTGGCTCTACAAGCTGTTATTCTGAGCTCCAAAATTTCTCCTATTTTTAGTAGATATAAGTCTCCATAACAAGAGACCAGCTTCACAGAGGTGAACTTAAGTGTTTCAGACCAAAAAAAAGGCTCCACAATAGTTAGAAGATTTCTCATTAGTTCCAGATACTCGCCTGTTAAAACAAAGAAGGAAAAATGAAAGTAATTTTTGAAGTACCTATAGTGAATAGTGTATCTGGTGCAAAGCCAGTCCTGAGGTTGGGCCTCTAGCCAAGTTTGCTGTTCTGCTCTGTTCTCCTTCTGGACCAGCTCTGCTGATCTGCTTTGTGCTCCCCCAGTGGCTGTGGGTACCTGGCCTGCCCAGGTTCCCCCCAGGTCTGTTCTGGGGACTAGAGGGTCAAAGCACCATAGCAACTGCTGAGATAAAAAATAATTTGGGGTTCTTCCTTGTCAGACACCTGCGTTTCCCACTGGAAGGGCACATGGGTGTCTTAAGTTGTGTACTAGGGAAATGAGTTGTGGGGGATCGAGGCTTCGGCGTGTACAACTTACTCAGGAAAATTTAGGCATGGCAAATTCTTCCTCCTCCTCTGTTTTGTTTAGCCAGGCCAGCTAGTCTTGTTTATGTGACTTGCACATAGCCAAAGCCTGTACTAGTGATCCATTTTCTTTGTTGCTGCTTGCTGTCTTTCTTACCACTGAAGAAAAGACTCCCTGACCTCTGCTAATATTACTATTATTTGTTCATTTCCTTAGAAAGTATAAGAAAGACACTATTAATGTTAAATAACACTTCTTTGCCAGAAAGGTTTTTGTTTAAAAGTGTCACAGTGTATTTAGTACCATATGTGTGGTAGAAAACATTTTTTGATTTCTTTTTGTTTAAGGCATATGTTTGACTGCTCCTGCATTGGCTTTGTTCTCCCCACTGTGAGAAACTTCTTGGTGAAATATGAAAGATAAAAACTTATTTGTGAAAAAGAAGAAGATGGATTCTCTGACCTGAAAACAACAAAAATGTTCAAGGGAGGCTTTTCTAATTCACTGTTTTAAAAACTGATTAATTTTGAAGCTAAACACATGCAACAGAGCACACTGACCTCTTAAGCACTTGCACAATCCAGCTTAGGTGATACAAATTATTGATCTTCTAAACTATAACTTTTGAGGAGCTGTGCTCTCCAGAAGTGAAAATGGGTAATAAAAAGTGTGTCCTGTTGCTTAGGTGGTGACTGAGTGTGAATAGGAAGTGCTTGTCCATTTCTCTCCAAAAAAGCCTGGAAGGGCGCGCTGCGTATTTGTTAGATGCCTTCTGGAAGGACCTTTCAATGTAACCTCTGAGAAGTGTGAACCTGGGAGCACAGAGGGCTAGGAATGCTGAGACAGAAAGGATGAAAAATGCAGGCAGGGAAGGACATCTAAGACCTTCCACTTATAGTATGAAAAGATACTGGAAACCTTAATAGAAGTTATTCCAGAGGAAGATGTATTTGGAGAGAAATTATGATCTTGTTATGAGCTTTCTAAGAGCTAGAATTATAATGCCCAAATTAAAATCTTAGGAGGCAAAAAACCCTGTAATTTTACATACAGAGTATGAAACTGAGGGCAAAGAGAAAAGAGGCAAGCATAAAAACTTTTTAAGTATTAAGTGTAAAGTTTAATAAAAGCCAAAGATATCTAAGTACAAATTATTTTTCACATATTAATCCTATTTTCTGTCTTATTTGCATATAAATTGCACTGATTGAACCTGAGATGCTTTGAATATTGGCGTAGTTGAGCTACCTGCATTTTAATGTCTTTTTTAGGCTTGAAAGAACCGTCTTAACTGTGCAGAGCCAAGCATTTTTGAGTTTTATTAAATCCATAAATTTTTTAAAATCAGATATGAATTGAATTTTTATTTATGCTTGTTGTCAAAATAGCTCAACTTTATGCCTAGAGTCGCCTGTTACTGGTTTGGTTCTAATATTCTGCTTAGTATAAATGCAAATATAGAGGTTATCTCTCCCCAGAAGTATGTCAAACTTAGGAGGCAAACAGGAAATCACAGGATTTTTAATGTTAATCTGCAAATTAGTAGTTTTGTACATGCTGTGGGAGAGGTGGCAATTTCAGAGGAACTTGACTGAAAGGAAGAGATGTTTGAAGCTTGGTGGGAGTATGGGGTGGGAAGACAGGCGGGATATGTCTTATGGACAAAAAAAAAAGATGGGAAATAAATGAGTTTATTTAAAGGTTGCTGAGGCTGATACAATAATAGAACGTAAACTGAGTAGGAACATGGTAAAAAGCTCTATCAAATATTTACATTTTTGATGCTGGTGTTCAGGTAGAGTGTGGTGTTAGGGTGATAATGGTCATAGGAATACGGTTGTGGTGGACCTGAATTTAAAACTATATGCATTGCTTAAGGAAAGGATAATTTAGGAAGTACCTTTGTCTTTTTGGGGGGATATTTATTTTCTCTAGTTTCTCTCTCAATTTTCTATTTTTCATTTGCTAATGTTCTACCTTTAAAATTGTTTTAATTATAAATCTTACTCTATAAGCTAGTCATGACATATACCACTATTCTTCTTCTTTAAAATATTTCTACCATAGAGGCTCATAACTGTTGTAGATGCCTTCAGGCATGTTTCTGGGAAGCATGATATGAATTTTATAATGCCTAAACACCAGTTACTCTGGGTTGAGGGGATAGTGCTTTTTTAATGCCCAAATCTAGCAAAATCTCATTAGCTAATTCTTTCACTTGTGGTTTTGTAGGCTTTAAATGCTGAATTGCCCTCCCCTGGTTTTTTTGAGGGGATTTGTCTGGATCAGATGGACTGTTCTCAACTGCTTTGTCAATTTTTAGAGATTCTTCATGCGTTGCTTTCCTGTCTGTAGACTTGTAACACACCTGAAATGTTTCTACACCAATGCATGCAGCGTGAGGAACAAAAGAGAGGAGATCAAAACTTTGGTCCAGTCCCAGAGATTTGATATCACTGGCATAAGTGAAACCTGGCGTGATGAGTCCTGTGACTGGAGTGCCCTGTTGGATGGTTACAGGCACCTCAGGAGGGATAGGCAGGGCAGAAGAGGTGAAGGGGTATGTAATAGAAGGGTTAGAATGTATGGAGCTCACAGTCGGCAATGGCAAAGTTGAGAGCCTCCAGGTAAGAATCTAGGGGAGAACAAATAATGTGGATGTCATTGTGGGAGTCTGCTATAGACTCACCCACCAGGACGATGATGGCAACAAATTATTCTTTGAGGAACTGAGGGACGCTTCCAAGTCAACTACTCTTGTCCTTATGGGGGACTTCAACTTGCCAGAAATCAACTGGGAGCATCAAGCAGCTGATACAACCCAGGCCAGAAGATTCCTAAAAAACCTGGATGACAACTTTATGGCAGAGGTCCTAAGGGAGCTGACTCAGAAAGATGCCCTCCTTGATCTGCTGCTTGTCAAGAGAGTGGATCTTGTGAGCAAAGTGGAGACTAGGGGCTGTCTTGGGCACAGTGAACACAAAGTGATTGAGTTTAAAATCTCTGTTGACAGGAGGAAAAGTGCCAACAAAACCTCAACTCTGGACATGAGAGCAGACTTCAGGCTGCTCAGGGAATTAGTAAGTAAGGTCCCCTGAGAAAATGCTGGGGTCCATCAGTGCTGGTCACTTTTCAAACACCACCTCCTAAAGGCACAGGAGCAGGCAATTCCCAAATGCTGGAAGTCAAGCAGGCAAGGCAGAAGGCCAACTTGGCTGAGCAGGGATCTTCTCTTGGAAATAAGGCAAAAAAGGAAGGCGTTTGCCTGGTAGAATCAAGGTCAAGTGACATGGGAAGAATTCAGAGATGCTGCTTGCTGCTGTAGGGAGAAAATTCGTGCAGCCAAAGCTCAGCTGGAGTTGAAGCTGGCCAGAAATGTGGGGGGCAATAAAAAGAGTTTTTTCAAATATATTAATGACAACAAGCAGTATAAAAATATCATTGGTCTGTTACAGGGTGAGAATGGTCACCTCATAAACAGGGACAGAGACAAGGCAGAGGTGTTTAATGCTTTCTTTGCCTCTGTCTTCAACATGAGTGACAGACTTCGCATTGACTCTGGCATAGAGGAAGAGTTTGTGAGGGAAACTCAGTTCACACATATGAATTTCATTCCCTGTCAGGGAATGAAACTACGTTTCATTCTGCATACAACGTTTTAACCTTCTTTCATTGCATTCAAAAGATAGAGATGTGGGCTCAAAAGCAGATTAATTATCCACTAACTACTTAATGCTACCTTGTGCGCAAACAGAAGGCATTTACCTCAAACCCTGTTGATGCATCATGTAATAAATCTGACAGTTATGGCTTTTTGTCTTATCTTTCCTTGCAGTGTTCATAAAACTGTTTCTCACTTGTAACAGATGGTCAGAACACAGCTTTGAAATTTATCTGGAGATGAAGCCCTGCTGATTCCATTAAAAGTGAAGAATTTTCAGGGAGATGGAGGCAAAGAGGGATTTATTTTTACAATTCTGATTATTTCATACAATGCCTTCCTTTCCTTTTTGCTTGCAGGTGATGTGCCTTCAGGATTTTTTTGGCGATGATGACATTTTTATTGCATGTGGACCAGAAAAGTTCCGTTACCAGGATGACTTCTTGTTGGATGAAAGTGGTAAGAAGATGTATTTTCCAAAATGTTTACAACCAGAGTAGAGGGCAGATTTCCATATCATGCTAATTAAGCTAAAGGTGTATCACCTAAATTGATTACCAAAATAGAATAAATATTTTGATTCTACATATGGAAAATAAAAGATCTAAAAGCAACAATAAGGCTGTCTGCCTATACAGCATAAAACTTGACTTCAGCCTGAGTTTCAGATACCATAGGAAATAGGTATGTGTTTGGTGGAAAACTCCTTTTTTGTAAGATCTTTCTCAGTGTTTAGTTTTATTTGCTGTTTGAATTTATTGCGTTTCTTTATCACAGTCTCTCAGGCTCCCAAACCTTACAATTGAGAAACTTGACTGAAAAATTGGTTAGAGAAGATTTCTTTACAGTAGTAACTATTTCATAGTCATTATGTGCTTACTTGTTTAACTTTACCGCTTCATCATTGTTTTTGATGCAATTATATATTCACAATTCAAAATGGTGCAATTGTATTTCTCTGACTAACCTGTGAAACTGAAGGGCTTCTTGGTTTACCTGGATCCAGACAAATGCTCCATTAGCTTGTGAGGAGGAGAAGGCAGCAACTTGTGAAGACCTGACATTGTGAGTTAAAGAATGACTGAAAAAAGAGATATCTTCTGGGCAAAGGAATGACATTTGGTATCAGGCACAGACAGAAGCAAGAACATATTCTGCCTTCTCAAGAGGACTTCATAATATGGAAATAAAAATCAAATAGTGTACCAGATCTGCTGTTTGAAGTAATGAAATTGCTGTAGTTGCCTCCAAGGCAAAATGTACTAACTGTGGAAAAATAGCTTTATACATCTTTAGGATGGGAATTAGAAAGGTAAGGAAGACATTTGAGCAGTAGAGGAGTTTCCCAGGTGGCTATGTGGCCAGCATGGCAGTCCTTGCCTTAGATGAGAGGAGGGCCAGGTAGTTGACTGCATAGTCTGGATTCACTTGTGTCTCTTATCTAAAAGATGATGCTGGCAGCAGCCCAGTGTCTCCTCACAGTGAATCCTAGGGCAGTTTTTCCAGCACTGACTCAAGAAGTACTGACAACAGATTTGTCTAAATCCCGTTTTGAAGTACATAGATGTTTTTTGGAGGTTTCGTGTCAAAGTACAGACATAGCCTGTATCTCCTTAGTCTTTATTTGTCTGACATATCAGCATCTTTTTGAGTAAGCACGATCTTTCTCTAAAAATTTGGTGCTTAAAACCATATTGTACTGAGCTTAAAAAAAAAAAAGATAAAAGATTAAAATCTAGACTGAAAATACAACTTCAGCTATTTTTAGTAGTGTTTGCTTTTCTACTAGGTAAAGATTCAGTGAACATTGACTGTTTTTACTGCAGGAGTGAAGAAAAGAGGGAAAATCAGATTCCAGTCTATGTCTCTAATTGCTTTGAAAACTGTACATCAATTTTGCTCTCTCTTTTTTGGGAAGTTTGGTATCAGAGAACTTCTTAGCTGATGTACCAACTGATATACATTTAGTCAACCTCCTCTGAGATTGGAGCAAGAGTTGGAGAATTACAAAAAAAAGAGTTTTAACTTGTTTGCTTAACAAATGAAATTTGTGTGATTGTAATGTGTCTGTGTGTTTCTTGTAGTTAATCTAAGAACATTACAATAATTAGGAAGTGCTGTCCAACTGTGCAAGTCTTGTAAAGCCTGTCTCTGCTTCCCTGAAAAGCATTGTGAAGCAATACTGTGCTAGTCAGTCACTACATCCCTCCAGTATTGCCATTTCAGACAGATGATGAGAATAACAGTTTAAGTGTTGCAGCTGGAGAAGCAAAGAACAGCAAAATTAAAAAGTGGGAAAGAAAAGGAGAGAGAATAAATACATAAACAATCAGGGTTCTGGGCTTTTGGGAATTACTTCTCAGTGAGGAAGAATGCCCTTGTTTTGTGATCTGGGTTCAGAACTCCTGATACTAGAGGCAAGCAAGAGACAAAGTTTCTGGGATTCGAAAACCTGTTGTGGGATTCATTTTGGCTAACATTAAGTATCAAGAGAGTAGGTAGCTGCAACTGAACCATTCACAGTAGGTTTCTTTCCCAATAAATAAAATTTAGATCTATTGACAAGATAGATGGTAGATGTTTGGTCAACTCAGTTGAAAGTGTATGTTTCGAACAATTCATGTGAATTATTCTCCAGAAATGTCTGGTTTGCTTTTGTAAACGCATCTATATGCCTGATTTAACTGTTCTTATCTACACTGTATGTCTATAAAGTTGCTGAAAAAAACTTTAAGGATGAGATTAATTCCACCCTATCAGAAATGAAAAGTCAAAAGACTCATCAGTCTGCATTATCTCTAGTCATCTTTCTTTATTCTGCTCCCATGGCTTGTTCTTGCAAGAGTCAGAAATTTAGAAAAGCCAGCCTAGAAGTCAGTGAATCAATCTCCCCATGTAAGTGTGGGATTACCATTCCCCATCTCATTTCTGAGATGCTTGTCTAACAAACCCCTTTAATGCCTATGATGAGGAGGAATCTGTGGTCTCCGGGGATGTTCTATGCCAGTGGTGAACCCTTCTCACTGTTTTTTGGCTATCTTAGCCCAGATTACCTTGCTATAAATAAAACCCATTGCTACTTTTCTTATCTCCTGTGACTATGGGAAACAGATGATTCCTTTCTCTCTGAAAAGATCTGTGGGCTTCCAAGAACCTCATCAATTTTCTTTTCTTTGGCTGAACAATTAGTTCAGCTTTTCTTTGCTTTGACTTCAGGCTCAAACCTGTCCTTGAAGAAGGGTGTGTGTTCCTTCTTTATGTCATCTCCCTTCTCTGTTTTATGTCTTTCAGTAAGAGGCATTGCATATCCCTTTGGCAATCAGTTAAAAAAAGTCAGTTAATTAGGGATCTATCAAAGAGAAAAAACAAGCAGTTGGCACTATACATTGCAGTTTCTTCTCTGCCTTGATGTACAGATGGTTTTCATATTAACACTTTATTGCATGAAATGCAGAAACCATAGGAACTATCCCCATCATAATTCCTAACAACCATCTCCATATCTGATGTGATCAATAGATACGATAGCCACAGACACTTCCATCAAGAAAACTGCAAATGGGACATGAAGATGCATGTAAGTGAGCATAAAATTAAGAAATAAATACTCCTTGTTTGTCAAGCATCAGTAGTGATGCTATTTTTGTAGCAAGTTTATGTGGGAAGCACAAAAGCATTATTTTAATGAAGGACACATTGCATCAGCCACCTTGTAAGAAGAAAAATTCCTCATTATAGAGTATGGCAGTGGCTGCTTCAGGCATTGTTAGCTTGCAGTTTTGGAAACTTTCCCAAAAATCACGTTTTCTTTAACTGATGACTGTTCAGTTTTCAAAGAGGTCAGAGGATGGTTTTCTATAGCCTTCAGCTGTGTCTTGGCAGAGATTAGGGTCTAAGGGCCATGATCACAAAAATGTTTGCAATCAGCTATTATTTAGGCACCTAAATAGGATTTAGCAATATAAATAACTCATGAGATTGGCCATAAATGAGAACATTTCCTTGGCTTATACACATATTTCTTTCTTAGCACTTTAAAATAAGAGAGTTTTTGAGGCTGGTAGTATCAGACTTAAAATTTTTTAAATTTAATTAATTTTTATGTTCAGTTAATGTTGGCTGAGTGCTTTGGAAGCTTAAGAGTTGCACAAACCTAAGTATGGCAGACTTCATCACATACTGAGACGCATCATGTATACAAAAGCTGCAGTCTCAACTGGCCAAAGCCAGTGTCTCTGCCTCCAAGTAGAGTGTAACCAATATAGAATGTCTGGATGTGAAAACAACTGCAGATTGCTTGTCCAAATCACATATTACTGTGATGGAAACAGTGATGAGAATTGCTCTATTTTAGGGGGAAATTAAGACTGGAATCTTTGAAACCTAATTTCACTTTGACTTTGCTGGCCTGTGTTAGTCCTCTGCTCAGCATCTCTGTGCCAGCAGTGTTACTGCTTCATCTTGCCAGCAGCAGACAACTTGCCAGGAAAATCTGAGTCCTGTGATGTCCACACACGTGTGTGAGCGCATGGAGGCATGCACACGCATCTGATCCAATAACTGTGGTTAAGGTCAGGAGTATCATGTTTATCCCTGTTAATAACTGTCATGTTACCCTAACTTTCATTAATCTGTCCTTCCTAAAAGAGAGAGGAAGGGGAAATAAGTTATAGTCCTCGTCTACCCTGATTTATAGGACAGAGACTGATGTGTTAAGCAGCTTTTGGCTGAACTTAGGAGTGGAGAGCATGCTGGCTGACTTACTCTGCCCTCGTCAAAAACTCGTGCTTTGGCAATTGGAAAGTAATGGTGGATTCTGGGGACTTTGAGACATAAGTTTGCTTTCAACAGAGGCATAAATATAAAATGTTCCACTGCGGTGTGATACTTTCAAATGTCAACAGCTTCTTGGCCTTGGAGACAGATATTCTATGTATGAAGCAGAAACAAACTAAGGCAGGAGGGACCAGTCCTCTGGCTGTATGTACCATTTAGACTAGTGATTCAGAAAGGGTAGAAGAAAAGAAGTTGTTTTTCTGGTGGATTTGCATCCAATGCCCCCTTTATTTTCCTACTCCAGGACCTCCATTTTCATCTCCACCCTTTCATAGGGCTGCAGACAATTTCAGAGTGCTCTCAGCTCCCTCACATTTGACACATGACTTGTTGTCCTCATTTCCTTCCTGACAATAATGACATTAATAGGGTCTCTCATTTATCCAGTAGTGTGATAGTTTCACAACTTGCGAAAAACTATATCCCCTCACTGAGACCACTCGTATCCAGCTGTGCTGAAAGTACATCCCCTCCTCCCTTGGCCCATGTGCCCATCTCGGCTCAGGCTGCGTGGAAGTACTCGGCCATATGGCAGCGTGTGAGTGACTCACTTGTTTCTGTTGTGTTAAACTCTTAAAAAGCGAATACTGATATTCAGTAAATACTCATAACAGGCTGTTAGT